CCTGAGCGGTGAACTAATTTTCGGCAGCCGAAATTTCGGTGCATCTCTAATTATTGGCGACATCAGAAATGGATATTATATAATAGATGCTTTTTTGAACATTTTAGCTATTTAAAAATATTAAAAAAGGATTTTTTTACACGGCACCCCTGCTCTCGACAGACGGCACCCCGGTTGGGAAACACTGTAGTAGAGCAAACTCACACACACACACACACACACACACACACACACTCGTCCAGATCTGATTCAGTCTACAGACCTGCTTCTGATTTATTCACACAAGATTTATACAATGGATTCTGCGTTTTCCGCATTGCTGAGGTCATGTGATGTGTGTTTGTGGTCAGGTGATCCCGCAGTACTCCATCATGCCTGACTCCAGCCAATCAAACGTGGTGGTGGAGCCCAGCGGCTTCTTGGAGATCACCGACTTCACCAGCCAGCGTCTGGACGAGGAAGCTGCCATGGAACAGGAAGTGGACAGCAGCAACGACGAGGGGGTGGCGGCCAGCCCCACGGCCGACCAATCACAGTGAAGCGTGCGGATTTGATTTGTTCAGAGGAGAAAGACCTTCTGTTTGTGCTTCATCACAGCTGTATAGAGAATCATGCAGTGAGTTTGTGCTGTAGAGCGAAACCTTACTTTATGGAGAATACGATTCCTGACGGAATGATAGGAATGTTTCTGTTGATTTCTACTTAAAGGGACAGTTCACCCAAAAATGATCATTCTGTCTTTGTTTACTGTCCTTCAGGTTTTTCAAACCTGTATGAGTTTCTTTCTTCTGTTGAACTCAAAAGAAGATTTTATGAAGAATGGTGGTAAACAAACAGCCATTGGTCCCCATTGACTTCCATACTAGGGAAAAAATACAATGGAAGTCAATGGCTACCAGCAGCTATTTAAAAAAATATGTTGTATGAATTGTTGAACACAGCAGTAGATATTTCATTGGGCCCTAAAAATTTAAATTTGAAGAATGTTAGTAACCAAACAGTTGACGGTAGCCATTGACTTCCATAGTAGGAAAAAAATACAATGGAAGTCAATGGGGTCCAAAATATTCTCTGTCATGTGTAACAATTCATACAAGATATTCCACAGGATTAAAAATCTGAATAGATATTTTGAAGAATGTTAGTAACCAAATAGTTGACAGCAGCCATTGACTCCCATAGTAGGGAAAAAATACAATGGAAGTCAATGGGGACCAACAGCTGTTTGTTTACCAGCGTTCTTCGAAATATTCATACAGCTTTGAAACAACTGGATGGTGAGTGAACGATGGTTTGGGTGAACCGTCCCTTTAATTTATAGTTTGAAGTAGAGCTGATGGACTGGAAGCTTCTAGATGATGATGATGATGATGAGTGCTGCTTCATCAGGACGTTTCGTGACTCCGCCTCCGCTTGTGTTCTGCTCTCTGATTGGTGTAAATAGCGTTTGATGGTCGTGTCCTCACTCGTGTAAAGCAGTGTCTCGTTTGTGCTCGATGGATGTAACGCTCAGCATTTTAACTCTATAAACTTTACTACAAAGCTGTGTTGTGTGCTGTGATTGTGCGTGTGTTTGTACAGGTGAGCGGCTCTCGGGTTACGCGGCGGGCGTGTCCGCAGGTGCGTGTGTGTGTGTGTGTGGAAAGTACCAGTGTCATTATAAGGGCCGAGTTTCCCTGTGACTCCTCATTGTGATGGAAACAAACGCGCGGTGGGTGTGAGCGTGGGACAGGGGGTTTTGTGTGTGTGTGTGTGTGTGTGTGTGTGTTTCTGGGTGGATTCCGGTCCTCTGAAGTGGGCAGAGACTCCAGAGGATGGCGGGACTTTCCTGCTGTCCCCACGGATCGGAGCGCGCTCCTCTGGGAGCTTCATTCGTCTGTTTCCTTCATCGCATCCGCGTCGTTTCACTTTCAGCTCTACAGAAGACCGTCTCTATTCAGATCGAGCTCTGTTCTCATCTAATAGTGTCAGTGCCGTCAAATACATATCACTTCAATTTAATTTTTTTTTTTTTTGCTGAAATTCTGTTTTTTTCCTCCAACTTCAATTTTTTTCTGTTTTAATTTAATAAAAGTTATTTTAAAATGTATTATTATTATTATTATTAAAAAAATAACGCCCTACAAAATACATTTTATTTTTCCTCAAATTATTATTATTTTTTTTTTACAAATTCTGTTTTTAGTTCAAATTTTCTGGACATTTTAATGGATTAATTACTAATTTTAGTAATCAGAAAGCGTGTCTAATTAATTGAACTCATGAAACTTACACGGTTTAACAGCAATTAAAAGTTTAACAAAACAAAAACTTTTTAGGGCCATATGAAATGCATATTATTCCGTTTTATTTTTACCAAATTCTGTGTTTTTGGTTTTGATTTTTCTTGATTTCATTAAATTTTAATAATCAAAAAGCATGTCTAATTAATTGAAATCATGAAACTTAAAAATACAATTTAACAACAATTGATTAAAAGAAAAGAAATGTATTTAAAAAAAACAAACATTTGTAAGACCATATGAAATACATTTTTTTTTTTTCTCAAATTCAGTTTTATTTTTTACCAAATTCTGTGTTTTCAGTTTAAATTGTTCTGGATTCAATTTTAATGGTTTAATTAAATTTTAATAATCATGATTGAAATCATGATGAGCTTAAACAATTTAACAACAATTCATTCAAAATGTAACAAAAAATAAATTTTTAGCACCCTATGAAATACATTTTAGTTTTCTTTTAAATTGTTGTATTTTTACCAAATTTTGCATTTTTTTTGTTTTTAATTTTTCTGAATTCCTTTTTAATGGTTTAGTTAATGTGTAATTAATTAATTCAACAACAATGAATTAAAAGTTTAACAAATACATGTTACAAGTACAACAGAAAACACATTTTTAGGGTCGTATGAACCCAATGTAATAATAATAATAATAACAATTTGTATCTGAACCACACGGTGATGCTTTCGTCGAGTCGAGCTGCTGCAGATCTCTCTCTTCTCCTCACCTCGTTTCTTTTTCTCAGAAAAGCGTTGTTTGTGTAACCGCTCATTAAACTAATTAGTTTTCCCAGAAGTAATTGGCGTATTGCGTAATGCGTAGTCTCTTCTGTTCCATTCACACAACTCTACAGCTTTAATAACCACTCTGACTCTCACAGCTATAATGATAACGGCAGAGCCATTTTATTCCATAACTATAAATATAATGCTCTGTTAGAAGAAAACATTAGCATTATGGAATATTTAAAGATAGTTGTGCGTGCTAGTGTTAAACTGATGAAACTATCAGTATATTCTGTAGAATAATAATGATATTCAGTTGTTCTTCCTGTATTACTCTATCTTTTATGTTTGCAGTGAGCAGGGTTATTAAAGTTCATTGGTGTTATAGTTAGTGGTCCTTAAAATAAAATCATTTTTAACTGAAATAAAATCTAAAAAACTTATAACTAAAACTGAAATTAAAATGAATAAAAACAGTGTATACTTAAAAAAAAAAACTAATTAAAATGCATGTTACTTTTTAAGTTACAGTGATTAAACTACTTTATATTCTGTATAATAATAATCATGAGATTTAATCAGTCATATGTGTTTTTATTAGTGCTGTCATATGATTAATCGCTTCCAAAATAAAAGTTTTGTTTGTTTACATAATATATGTGTGTGTGTACTGTGTATATTTATTATGTATATATAAGTACACACACTTGCATGTATATTTCAGAAACATGTTATATTTATATATTAAATATAGTTATAATATAGATTATATGAATATAAATATATGCATGTAAATACATGTAAATATTTAAAAAATATACACTGTGTGTGTATTTATATATTCATAATAAATATACACAGAACACATACATATATTATGTAAACAAAAACTTTTATTTTGTATGCGATTAATGGGTTGACAGCGTTTGCTGTGAGCTGAGTTATTATAGTAAACTAGTTAAAGTAATAAACTATTATAGTAAAAATAACTTAATTTATCTAATGAAATAATTAACTGAAATAAAAAATAAAACCTTAAATGAAATGAAATGAAATTTTTCATTTGTTTAACTTAATGTACTAAAATAACTAAAACATAATAAAGAAATACAATTCTAAATAAAATAACTATATGGACATTTTAAAAAAGGCTAATAAAAATACAAAAACAAACAAAATGACTAAACCTTTATCTATAACTTAGTTTAAAATAAATAAAATAAAATACACAAAACATTAAATGTATGTTATTTCAGCTAATTGCCTGGCCAACATTTCTCATTTCCATTTAGTTTAAGTTGATCTTGTAAAAAACTAAAACTGAAATAAAAATTATTATAAACTCTATAGACATATTTAAAAAAAAATTACACAATTACTGAAATGTTAACTTAAAATAAAAACAAATATAAAAATAAAAATGAAACTATAATAGTATCTCGATGATACTAAAATAACACTGGAGTAGTCTGAAATAAAATACTAAAATAATATTAATAACATACAAAATATTCACAAACAAATTACTCTTATCAACCGGTTATTTTGAATGAATAAGTGAAGATAATTGAATGAAATAAAACTAATTAAAAAAAAAATTTGTTTTTTTTAATTATATATATGTATAATAACTATAATACTGTCTAATTGTATGATGATAACACTCAGTGAGGCTGTTGAATATTTCCTGCTGCTGTATTTCATCATGACATCACATGAGCTCAGCACAAGTTCCCCGGCTGAGCTCATCTTTGTGTGTTTTGCTTTTAAAGAGCTATAAATACAGCTTTAATGTGTTTAATGCAAATAGCCGTCGGGATCCACCAGACGCAGGACTTTCAGTTTCGCTCTTCAGCTGCTCTGCAGTCAGACGCTGCTGGAAAACCCCTGCCACTGAAGATGACCTTCATCTGCTGTTAATTATAGTGTCGGGTCTCAAACGAGCTGGCTGGGGAACGAAGGGGAACGGCCGGAATTGAAGAAGCTGTAAAGGTGAGAATCTTCCAGCGGCCTCCTGATGATGAAGCCGTCACACTGAAGCTGAAGCTGAAGGAAAGCAGCCTCGCGCCGCTGAAAACAAAACACATTTAAAAACTGCTAGTAAATATCACAAACGACTACACAGGGCTGTTACAGTTAACAGTCCATTTAAAAACATTTCCGGTAACACTTTATTTAAAGCCTTTAATACAGTTGTGCTCATAAGTTTACATACCCCTTGCAGAATGTGCGAAATGTTAATCATGAGGGATCATGAAAATTGCATGTTATTTTTTATTTAGTATTGTGTTGAATAAGCTATTTCACATAACGGATGTTTATATATGTGACCCTGGAGCACAAAAGCGGTCTTAAGTCGCTGGGGTATATTTGTAGCAATAGCCAACAATACATTGTATGGGTCAAAATTATCCATTTTTCTTTTATGCCAAAAATCATTAGGATATTAAGTAAAGATCATGTTCCATGAAGATATTTTGTACATTTCCTACCGTGAATATATCAAAACTTAATTTTTGATTAGTAATATGCATTGCTAAGAACTTCATTTGGACAACTTTAAAGATGATTTTCTCAATATTTAGATTTTTTTTGCACCCTCAGATTCCAGATTTTCAAATATTGTCCGATCCCAACAAACCATACACCAATGGAAAGCTTATTTATATGCATAAATCTCAAAATCTTTTATGACTGGTTTTGTGGTCCAGGGTCACAAATATACTCCACAAGACAAAATAATAACTGAATTTATAAAAATGACCCCGTTCAAAAGTTTACACACCCTTGAATCTTAATACTGTGTTGTTTCCTGGATGATCCACGACTGTTTTTATGTTTGATGATGTTTGTTCATGAGTCCCTTGTTGGTCCTGAACAGTTAAACTGTCTGCTGTTCTTCAGAAAAACCCCCAGCTCCTGCAGATTCTTCAGTTTTCCAGCATCTTCTGCACATTTGAACCCTTTCCAGCAGTGACTATGGTTTTGAGATCCATCTTTTCACACTGCGGGCAACTGAGGGACTCATACATAAATCATCAATTCAACACCAAGCTCTTAATGCATCGTGTTTCGTTCTTGAGCAGCAGTAAGTGTTTTGACCGTTCGTAATTGTGTACGAGTCCCTCAGTTGCCCTCAGTTACAATATATATACTAAGTATACTATATACAACTGTATATAGTAACTCGTTTTAATGCATTAATTGTAATGCAGGTTATAATGCATTGTATGATCTCATGAATAATTGTAAGCACAGTTATAATACATTATAACACTTATCTATTCATCGTTACACCTTCAGAAAATATAATGCATTAAAACACGTGACAAACAAGTATTATAATGCATTTTACCATTGGTTACAGTTATTTATGAAAAGATATAATGCATTACAATGTACATTATGAATACCTTTATAATGCATTATACATAAAGGCTTCAAGTGTTATCACATTTGCATTACTTGAAATAAAATAAAATATAGCTTATTTCAGCTAGTTTCCAAGGCAACATTTCTCACTTTAATATTGATTAACTTAATGTACTAAAATAACTCAAACAAAATCAAATTTATAAAAAACTGTATAGACATACATAAAAAAAAAAAAAACTACTACAAAATTAAAATTACAAAAAACAGCAAGTAACACATTGAACATGAAGTTTTGAAAGACTGAAATAGTATTTTCACACAAACACACTCCAGTAATCTTTGTTTTATTCACAACTTCGAAAAGTCATTTTCCCAGTGTGTTTGGTGTGTGTAACTGCTGTTCACACTGAAAGTGGAGTCACTCCACTCGATCTGGTTCTGTTCACACACACACACTCTCTCTCACACACACACTCTCTCTCTCACACACACACACACACACACAAACACTCTCTCTCTCTCTCACACACACACACACACAGGTTTGTTTTTGTGAAAAGTGGGGACATCCCATAGGCGTAATGGTTTTTATACTGTAGAGACCGTATATTCTATTGCCCTACACCAACCCTACCCCTAAACCTACCCCTTACAGGAAACTTTG